AGGCTTTTGAGACATATGTATTTAATCTAATATACATAATGAACTGTAATATAAAATTCAAAGCGAATTTAATCAATAAATTTTATCACACACCATCAGTTAATAATTGACGTAGCTAATTCCATTGAATATAAAGTACGAAACAAATTAGATAGCGTCGAACGAATCAAAGCCGGGCATAAACACAACGTCGGAATCGCCGCGATTGTAAATTAAATTGTGGAAAAAACGTACGGGAACGCGCGCCGTCATAAGTTTTATAGAGACTGATTATTGTGAGGCATTAACATCAATTTACATTTCCGATGGCGGTAATAAAAACATAAAACACTCGGCCAGGCTATCCCACAATGCGCCGTCCCACCGCGCTCCTCGCGTAACACATTTCGTGTTTACGACAAAATCGCACGGTTAGAGACGACAAAGTCGCGTGTTATTTACTGGTATCTTTACATTGATGTTCAGGGTCATTGTTCAATTTATAGCCCACATATTTCAATCTATAGTCCATTAATATTGAGCAAAATCAATAATAAACAGTAACATCTTTTCCAGTAGGTATTCGATTGTTATATAAGTTTCTAATGTTACTGCATTGAGATTATAATTTTATATTTAGACACGAAAGAAGCGCACGATTATAATGTAGATAGTAGATTAGTTCGACGATGAAACATATTCAGTTCTGTTGACGCTACAATGACACGCAAACTCACGAGAAACACGTCAAGAATGCATATCCCTCCCACTTTAAGCACTCAACGAAAGATTCAAGCAAGCCTTAACCTATAATGCTTTCATCTTTCTTTACATAGTGATCTATGAAAGGGAAACAAATTAAAAAAGACATCAATTTGAAATGATGTAGATAAGGAAGACTTTACGTAACAGTTGCATCGATAACTTCTATTTATACCGACTACTTGAGCAATCGATGCACAGCATAATTTGACGGGGGAAACAACACTACGACGTATACGCGAAACGTTACGCGCACCGATTGCGTATTGGTTGAATACGCGCGATAAATGCGCGCCATCGTCTGAGTAAAGGCGCGCGGTTCGGCCGCGTGTATTTTTAGCGAACGTTTGTGCGTACGCACGCGATCGTCCGCTCGGGGTGAATGGCCCGCGCCGCTCCGTTGCGACCGCCCGCGACCGAACGGACGACGTTCGACGGACGAGTGCACGCTAGGGACGCCGAGAAAATATCGACATATCGATAATTTTGATTCACATATCGATATTTTAACCCATATATTTGGATCCGATATATCGCTATGAATGAATTTTTAAGGTGGTAGGACCAAGCAACAGTTTCCACTGTTGCACGAATGGGCAGGGCCGTCCGGGTAAGTACCACGGCCTCACAGAAGATCGGCGTAAAGTGTTACGTTTCTGCGTTTCGTCTGGTGAGTGAGGTAGCCGGGGCCCACATTTATATAATGGCAACGCATTTACGGGTGTTGCAAATGTCCATTGGCCGGCGGTTTTTTCTTAAACATCGGGTGAACCGCTAGCTCGTTTGCCACTTTTTCACATTAAAAAATAAATAAATCAATTAATTAATTCAATATCGAAATCATATCAAAAACGATAATTTTTCAAATTCCTCGGCTCAGAGTCTGTAGATGTCAAATATTTGATAATTGACATAACTTTTTTTTTTGGACGACGGGTCCTAAGCCGAGAATACTGATATATAATTATTATTTTATTTGTATAGTAGTATTAAAATATCGATATATCGATATATTTCTTCACTTTCGGCATCCTTAGTGCACGCGCGGATATATTCGCTGACACGTCTTCATTTACACCGTTCGACGTAGTGAGATACGTTTGATCGTTCAAATCCACCCGTCCTTCATGTGATGAGTCGATCTTCTATTATGGGAACTTTGGGTTTACTGGGCTGCGATCATTGAACGTAGAGACTAGAGAGAGAGGGGAGAATGATAGGAGAGAGGACAGTAGAGGAAGTGGACAGTTTCACTTCGTCTCTTCACTCAGAGGTGAAACTGAACAGACTCAGAGAAACATTTTTGTAACAGACAAAGCTTTGAGGAAACCGCTACAGCGAATGCGGACAAACGCACGGCACGCGATATGCACTAACCGCGACATCCTGTGGTTATTACTCGAAAGAACTTGAATGACGTATTTAGTGACGTTAGTGTTTCTTGATGGTTTTTTTATAACTCTCCTATATACAAACTCCAAGAACTTTTATGGCAATACGGTGGTAGGGCCACGCAGCAGCCTCGGCTGTTGCACGAATGGGCAAGACTGGCTTAAAGTGGAAGTAAAACACTTTCGCGTTTCGTCTGGTGAGTGAAGTGGCCGGGGCCCAATTTTCAAAACGTTGTCAACGCATCTGGAACTCACGGGTGTAGCAGATGACTATGAGCGGTGGTATTCACTTAACATCAGGTGAACCGTCTACACGCTTGGCTAATTTTCACATAAAAAAAAATAGTAAAAGAAGTTATGAATCGATTTGAACTCGAAGCTGTCTCAGGTATTAAAACCAATGTGCTGATTCAATTCGACGATCCTTCATCAGACTTCGAACCTAACAATGTTGATAGCAATACCACTTTTTATTGCAGAAAAGTGAAATAAATATTGAAACCGACTGCCACAAGTTCTACGTTGTAATTACTTCGGCAAGTCACTTGTTTACATTTTATAGTGCAATTAATTTTTATTGGAACAAGTTGAAATGTGTTTATACAATAGAAACAAACAAGTCCTAAGCGGTTTAAAACTAACTGCCCATTGAAATCAAGATCGAAATAGCCTTAAAAAATGTTACAAATATTCAACATTATTCATTTTATAGAATACTTTGACCCATCTCTTGTTCATCGGAATCGATAAAATGCGTCAACCGTGCACTGAGTTGACAATTAAACCATTTCAACTGCATAATTTTTAATCTGTTCCAACATAAGATTAAAGATTATTACGATCTCATTAATACCTGCTCAAAAACAAGCAAATATACAAGCAATTACAACTAGATAGCATGAGTTAATGACATAATAGCCAAAAAGAAAGAAAAACAGAGAGTAATAAAAAACCGGATCGATTCCCATTTCAGCACTTTTAAGTGGTGCTGGTTACTTTACGCAGACTGACTACCACCACTCATTACAAATTTGGACGGTAGTAATTGACCACAATTTAGACAAACAACAATACCTAATTCATACAGCAATCCAGTCCATTTGAAAGTGCACCAAGTTACGAGGATAGTAAATTGTACCTATAAATAGATGATAGATAAACAGATACACGATAGGCTCACTGCACACGTATGTACACGACGGACAAACTCCAAATGTATGCATGTGCATACTAGGCTCGGCCCACATGCGTGCACATGTGTACAGTCGCGCTCAATTAGCTATACAACGGCGAAGAATCAAAGAACGGTCGACCGGTGGCACGCCCATAGCGGGTGTAACACTACGCCAAACAAATTTTATTACTCGGCCATTTGCGACGCGGTCATTGTTTACACCGCTGCTCTAATAAATTATAAATACCTCTACACGAGTTTGTTGAGGTATTTATATTTTATAAGGGCCCCTGTTTTACGTGTTTCGCATTAAATATATTAATTTGTAACTACGTATTAGAAAGGTTAGTGTTGTTGCTTGGCCTAAATGATTTCTGGTTACAACATTGCCTTTATCCAACACGAGTGTGTTAAGACGCGTATGGAAATTATTGGGACACAATTAGATTGAGGGACGCATTAATGCGAAACAAAACTCAATTGGTTTCAATGAGTTTCAACAAACTCCACAATATTCGGTTGATATTTTGAGGAAAAACTATGCCGTTATACGGTTCACTTTCAGCTAAAAACAAAGTACGGCCGCTGCCGCTCTGTTCGCGTTCGTACTTACGGTACTGTTGCAACTTATAATTTATAGCCCACGCCGGCGACCCTGTGCAGCAAGAACGTTACATATTAAGTTCGGTTCCGGGGCATTATTTGTATACAATCATAAAGCTAGAGCGGGCATAATTCTTTCACATTTGCCTGTAGTAGCATGTAGGTGACAACACTTAGCGACATGTATATATTTAAATCTTACAGCTATGTATATCCGGTATAGTTGCTATTTGATAATCTGCCATTGTCGAACGCTTTCTACCCAAAACATGTACCCGTTTTGGGTGACAGAATCGTATTTAAACCAGCCTGTACGTAACGGGCAACGATATTAAGTAACCTGCGTCACATGAATTCTTACGGAGCCGGTGGTTTATTTTAACCGAGGTTCAATGAACCGATAGTTAGAGCGCTTGCGTAATTTTGAATACGGTAATGTCGCGGCAACAGCGCGTGCGGCGATAACACGATCTTGACATTAATTAATTAATGAATAGCGAAGATGATATCGTATCGAGCGGTAGATAAAGCAGTGTGTATGCGATGAGATCGATGCGGCTACAAGTCGATTCATCGCGCATCTGGCCTTAATTTGCGAGTCGATGTAAGATTATAAACAAACAGCGTATGCGGTGGAATATTTAGATGGATGTATTCGACAGTCAGTGATTGCTTACTAGCTAAGTACGTCGTACTTTTAATGTTGATATCGCCGGTTCGAAACCCGGTATTGACACTAGTTTTCCGTCGTTTGTAATACTGAAGCGCGAGTAAGTATACTTTCGTTTGTGCCCAGTTGTCGCTTGTTGCCCAGTTGTTGTGTGCAGCTTTGTTGCTTTTGCTTTACCAAAAGCAGCAAAGCTCAGCACTAAATAAGCTCAAGTCAAATAGTTTCGGAGAAACGCACAACAATGGGAAGCACGGGTATGGCAAATGCCGAGGAGCGGTTATCACTTATCATCACGTGAACCATCAGCTCGCCAACCATCTCGCGCATAAAAAAATAATGTCAAGCGGCTGCGGAACAGAAAGCCCGCCACCGAACGACGCTCGGGTTGACATTGCGATAGAGTTGCGAGTGGGAGCGAGAGATGGAGATAGAGCTAAAGGGAGAAGAGAGTCGACGCGGGCTGCGCATGCATTTAGATCGCAGCATCCACGGCCGCTCGTCCTGGGAAATTGAGCGCGCCGGCCGTGGAGATTGCTTTTAAATCGCATTACGCGCCCGACGCGACGCCGTCACGGGTGCCTGCCTAATCGTGAACGGACTCAGATATTAAAACACGTTTGCAACAATCCAATATGCCAGGGTGACTGGGTAAAATTGACGACTTTGTCGTTAAATTAATTTCAATGCTTATTCATCACCAGCGACCCGCCCCGGCTTCGCACGGGCGCAATGTACACATATAACCCTTCCTCTTGTATCACTCTATCTAGTAAAAAAGCCGCATAAAGATTCGTTGCGTAGTTTTAAAGATCTAAGCTTATATAGGGACAGACTGACAGCGGGACGCTTTGTTTTATACCAAGTAGTGAAGCTTCACATAATTCGGACGATTTAACAATAAAATTTACAGATACGTACGAAGTTTGTCATCATCGAATTATTTAAAAGTATTGTTCATTAACTCTGCACTCGCATTGTTCTGGAAAACGAGGGACCAGCAATTAGTTTATTATGAACGAAGAATGGTTAGTTTTTAAAATTCCTCGAAGTAATATAACACCTGAAAACACAACAACAATGCGAAGGAAAGTTTTTTCTAACTGTGCGATTGTTAACAAAACTAGTTGGACCTTAAAACCGGGTATTGGGTAAATAAAAGGCGAATCGTTGGGGTAAACAATCCTACGTAGCAAACAATGCGATTTTTTCTATGTGAAACCATGGAATTCTCAGAAGAGAAGATCGGATGAGTGCAATTGGATTTTACGAGGGTGCTCGGCTTTCTACGGGCCTCTTGGAAGGGACCGTTTAAGGTAACTTTAAAGACACCCGGTTAACAAAATACACGTGTACTCGAACAAAATACCGGAATAAAACCGAGCCCCGCGACGATACAGAAAAAACAACCGAAACACGTTTAATTGACATCTTAATCGCCAATAAGTATGCAATGGCTGCTAAATAAGGCGAATTAATGTGGCGGCCTCTAAATAATTCATTAACACGTTTTGCTATGAGAAAAAAAATTTGAAATTTATCAGACCACGTTAACGCCGTCACAGTGAGTCACAAAAAGCAGAGCTTGAGGTTTGCTTCACTCATGAAGTTAAGGTTAAGTCTAAACGTGTAAGGTTTCTTCGTAAACTCCGATAACCTCACCTATAACTGGCGAGTCACATTTCCTGAAATTTCTGGACAAACATCGCATTGGCATGAGGTCGTCACAAGTATTATTCGATATAAAACAAATTCACATGTATACGTGTTTATAATTTAAATAAAGAAAAAGTTTTTATCTTTACACATTATCAGACATAGAAGCAAAAACTTGTATCATGATTAGGTGCTAATTACTGACGTTACTACCGCGTAAAGTGTAGGTACTATTCGGATATATAGGGACGTATCCCGCTAAATCAAAAATCGATCCGCCCATCATACAGACCTCGAAGTCGTTTAATTCGAAGAGTTTTAACGCGTCGGATGTGGAATCTTAAGACGCTAGACTACTAAGTCGGAACCGTCTAGAATTCAAATGACTTCCTTAGTCGGGCTCGCCCCGTGAGCTCCTAAGGTTGGCGGCTTCGCTCACATCGCGTTGGGCGACTAACGACGAGGAATAGATAAATTATTCAAAGGGCAACGGAAGGTGAGGCTCAAGGTGCTGGCTGCACCTGCGACTGCGCCTACTGCAACGAGAAATTTCTACGCGTCAAACGCGACCTTTAACGAGAATATATCGTTTATCGAACTCCAATAAATACACTGCAAACGCGACATGGAAAACGCACATGCCCCGGTAGCACGACGGACGATATTATACATCTAACTGCCGGTTTCAATTTTCTATCTACAGATAGATTTGGTTACTGGAGACAGAATTTTGACGTAACTAATATAGAGCTCATGTCAAATACCTGTTAACCAAAGCTGTCTGTAGATAGAATATTGAAATCGCACGTAAATGATAAATAAAAGCGGATGGTAAGGAGAACTATTCTAAATTGTGAAGCCAAAATACTCATTCGACCATTCGCTTACAAATGTGTTTGCTACTTCGTTCAACATTATAATAAATTACTTCCACAAAAGTGAAATCAGAATTGTTACATTATCAATGAAGCTAAAGCTATTATTGTGAAAAGGGATTACCTTGAATCGTTTGCTTCGTGGAAAACCGCGTTCCAGTATATTGTGTGTCGGTAGTACAACCGATAACGTTGGAATCTGGATGGATGTCGTAACGTAACTGGGAATTTAATTTCAACCAGACAAATGTCTGCGTAAACAGTTCATTAACATGACTAATACCGAGCGAGCGAGGCGACGTCAATTTGTAGAGTGATTCGGCGCGATAAGTAACAACCACGTGAATATTTGTCGCGTGGGGTTTTAAATTCCGCTGCACGTAATACACACGTACACTTAAACGATTTCGAACATGACGGACGGAGTCCACGAATTGTTCGAGTAACTCTACGTCGAAACACTTTTCGAACTCGAAACGTGCGCGATTTAACGTCGAAACTCGTCTAACGAAGTTCCGCCCCGCGCGCCACACACTTGAAGCCCTCGCGGGCTCACAAAAAATAAACCTTGCGCCTTAATCCATACAAAACTCCCCTAAGCGAAAGGGCGACATCCATTGTCGGGATGCGACAAAAAACCGGAGGCCGGCGACGCGGCTGCCGAAGGAACTTTTTTTCCCCCCCAGGATCCATCCCCGCCAGGGCCGCGGCGAAAAAAGCGCCAAAATCACAGACGCGCTTACCGATCATCGTTACCGGGGCCGTGGCAAATAGGGAGACGGGACCGCGGCATGCGCTTAAGCCGAGGGATAGTCACCTCGGTCGGTGGCGTAGCATCGCACCGCCGGCCGGGTCAGCTGCGGCCCCTTGGAGCACTGCACATCCACGCCATCGCACAACGCACACACACGATCGATCCGCCGAGCAACGGCCACTGTGTCACTGTCGCGGTGTAGAGACGCGGGCGGCGCGCTCAGCGTACGCCGATGCATTGCTCCCGGGCGCAACAGCTGTGCGACGGGAGGCTCCCCCTGCCCCGCCACCCCGCGCGGCCACCCCCCCTCGCCGCCCCCTCGCCCCGCGCCGCCAGTGCGTGCCACACCCCTCCCCCCCACCGCCGCCACACCTCTAATCCATTATTTACGAACGGCCGACCGGTTTCGGGCGCCCGCTCTCGGGCCGACGTCGACGCACCGCACCGGCGGCGCTGGTTCGTATTTAATGCCCTTCCTATGTCCGGCCTCTAATGCGATAAGATTACGGCCGCTGCGCCGGTCCTCTGGACGCGCGCGATGGCGGAACAAAGGCCAGGTTGAACGACCCGCGGCGGACGGCTAGATCACCGCACACCATCGGCCGGGATGGTGGGCGAGCGCCGGACAGTATTCCAATCGGAACCTTCGCTGCGGATGCATCGGCTGCATTCCCCTCTGTTTAGCTACATGTACAATACATCGGTAAAAATCAGTTCTCCGACTTCTAATGAGCCTCCAAAGACTTTCACATTTCGCCCTCCCTCTCGGCACCGCTTATCGCCTCGTTTATCTTGGTTTCTGTGAAAACGGCTTAAAAACCTCACTCGTTATCTCCTTTCCGAGAAGATGGTTTACCGGGATTCGTGTCTAGTTACAGTCCTTTGGACGGATTCGTGAGACGGAACTCGATCTGAGAAACAATTTTGATGACGAACACCTTGCCGAGATGTATTCTGTTTAATTATTAAAATTATACACTAAACATGAAAACAAATAAGTTAATTGTGTAGTCGTCCTGCTAACAAAACTGTCGCCTGGTAGGAATGGGAAATTAATTGCCGCTGCGCCGAAAGCTGCGGACCACCTCGGTGCTGCTACCGTGATCCGAATCCGACATTGTGTCGCGCGCCCCGGACAGTCGGGCACACGAGAGCGGTGGTGTTGCATTACGCGGTTCCCGGTAAGGTTAGCGACGGGCGAACGGTCGCGACTGTACCCACATAACCACCTAACTCCAGGTCCGTTTTCGGACAGCCATAGAAACCACGCCGTTCGCGGAACTCTGTTACCTGTGCTGGGGCGAGCGCAACGTGCCAAGGTGAACGCTCGGGCCAAGGACGGCCCGCGGGGGAGAGGGGGGGGGGGGCGGCCGCTGCGCCCATCCCCCCCGCCCGCGCCCTCCACGCACCCTCCTCGCCGGCGCGGGCCTTCGGAGCGCAGCACAGCAAAAAAGGGGCCCCGACGGAAACAAATAGAGAACGGCTCAAGTTCGGAAAAAGGAACGCGAGACATCAACGGGTCTCGGGTAACAGAACTAGCACGCGCTCGCGAGTAATCGTTTCGAGTGCGACCGCTCAGTACGCGGCGACGCAATCAGGTGGTCGATACGAGCTGGTAGCGGAAGAGCGCCTTGTCCCTAAGAACGGCATGCCAATAAACGATGATGCGCCTTAGCTTTTTCTAGTGAGGAAGGACGGGGAGCGATGAACCGGTTCCAGGTTCCCTAGTGGAAAAACGAGCATAGTGCGAACGAGGAATGCTCTTCGACGGCGCGTCACCGGCTAGGGTTACGTACGGTGACATAATAATAAAAACATGAAGTCTACAAGCGTTATAAAGAAGTTTTTGTTCATATTTTATTAACTCTTGTGTGTCTGAATCGTTGCTATAATGTTTCCTATAACGCAAAGCTGCATTAGTATTAGCAACATGACTGTTTTTGGAACTCAAACTGACAAAAGTTTCAGTTGGAAAGCGAAAGTGCTCTGCAAACTAATATATAAAATAAAAACGTGAACCGATTTGAGAGACAGTAAAAACCTTGTACATCATTCACTAACAGAGCACACTTCCTATAAGCATATATGCAATAATATGTTATCGATATGACATGTGATGACAGTGAATTTATAACGTAAAACTCCAAACAAATAGGTCAATTCATCCTTGATTGGTAATAATGCCTTCAATTTGCCGATTGACGTCATATTCACGCAAAATATAAAATTAGTTGAAAGGTCTCATCTCTAATTATGTCTCTGCAACCTAATGCAGGGGAAGCAACAACATGGGCAGTTAAAGTTCATCCATGAAATTTACATATATTTTCGAGTTTCAAAAGTAATAATAAATTTTCGAGATTATATTTCCAAGCGATACGTTTAATCTTAAGTGTCACATTTCTGGTACCTACATTTGAAATTCGGCTCTTAATTTGAACATTACAATTTGATTTTGAACCAACGAATTTCGAATGATCCAGAAATGTGACACTCAAGCACAATCTTTCAACTCTTTATCTCCAAGCTATCAATTTTACTCGTACTAACAGCGTAGGCCTTAACATTTGAGAACCCAACCGAGATCGCACATAACCTACATAAATTATGTGGATATGCGTTTATAAACTTTTAAATTGCACTTTCGCGTATTCATTGTTCCATGGGATTGTCTCCTAGCGAAATCCTCACGCGGTGGTGGCCGCGAGCGCCCTTTCTGGCGCGGCACTTCCAGAGTCCCACATTGCGGTCATTCGACCAGTCCATTGGCCATGTTACATCACCGCTCGTAAATAGAATCTCCTGGAGCGGTGGGCGCGCGGTGCGTGCAAGGAGGCGTGACGCGCCGCGCTCTTCTAGCGCGCAGCGGGACCTGCGGGTGCGAGAGGGACGGGGCGGTGTTACAGTTAAGCAGGAACTCTATTTATATGCAAATATAACCTCGGAGCCGACACCTGTTTGCGTATTCTCCGCGTTCGACGCGTTCGCTTTGTGGCGACTCTGTCTCCGGTATCCTTTAGATTGTGGAGCACCAGCGGTCTTTCAGCGGTTTCCAATCAATTATGCACCTTACGTCCTCCCGTTATGGTATATTCCACGACGCAACAATGGCGGACCATAAGCCCTTCTCTACGAGAGCGTTGTCGCTTCCCGGTTTGTTTTTAATACAAAATTTTTGATATCATTACTTTTCGGGATGTACGATTACATTGTACGCAATTAAAGGGTCAATTTTAAAACAAGGCACGTTCTTTATTTAAATAACAGAGTTTTATCATAATTAAAAAAAAGAATTTTAAATTATAATTCGTTTATAAATATTAACTTTATTCATAATGTTCGGTGAAGATGTTATTAAATTGTATTGGGGCTATTTCCTTTTTGAATATGTGGTATACAATTGCCAATTTACAAGTAACATTAATGTCCCAATTTGTGGCTGACGGTTATTTAACAATTAGTAAACCGATCGAAAAGCGCAATGGTCAGTAAGTCAACAGCCACGATGCGGGTTCGTGCCAAAAATTAGCGCGACCCACAAATAATGGCTGCGATCCGGCAGTACTTTGTTGGGGTCATTCCTTAGTGTGAGTCCTATTTTTATGAGAAAATAAGTGAGAATTCGTCTTTTTTCTCCCGCCACCATTGTCGGATTCTTTCGTCCGTGTCATATTTCCTCACGCAACCTCGACGTACGCTGGGCAAAGAGAAGTATCTGAGCTAGGGTCAATTTATCATACGCCGCCCGGGTGCAACCTAAGTGGCTTTCTGTGTACGCCCACGCGTGATGCCAACAATACATTTATTTCTTTTTCACACACTCGCTTTCGTCATATATTATCGCGATTCATTAAAGATTTCCCTCGAATAGTTCGCACCTATGTGTTACTCCAATGAATATTACATACAAGTTAATACAAAATCATATAAGTTACTGCCAAACACCACGGGATACTAAGAAATAGAACCACTACTAAGTGCACACGCTACGATATTTCTCGAAATAGATGCAGTCTGAATGTATGGATCTATTGCATTTGATAATATTCATCGTATCATCATCGTCGTCATCATTACAGCCTGTTTTATCCCACTGCTGGACAAAGGACACATCCTCTGAATGGTGCCATGAAACGCGACCCTGAACTATTTGCATCCATCGATCTTCCACATATACCTACACTGCAATGGCCAATACGAGGCTCCCATTCTAGAACTTATCACGTTTATTCATCGTAAATATGTACCTATTTATTTTTATTATTTATACTATAGGTACTGAGTTTTCATTATAATGTTTACTTTCACTGACGACCCTTCACACTACGGTATAAGCAATTAGATTGCAACAATTTTATTTCTGCCGGAGTCAAGATTGGAACTCAGGTCATTAGAATATGGTCGATATAGAATCGAGCGACTGGACAATGGTCTACCACAGGGTACTGCAATAGTAAGTGAACAAACAATAGTAATACAACAAATGTTACTGTTATAATTTTAAGTTAAATACTGAATTAAAACACACACCATTTTCACATAAAAAGAACGTTCATAGAACTAGCACAAAACGAATTTTCGTCCTCAATCAGAATAACCGCCCGACATCGCGCATGTCTAACTGACAGCGTATAAAACAATTACGCGCCGGGCGATAATTGCGCATTACGCAACAACGTCGCCAGTAGCGTACAAAGAGCACAAATGAGGTTTCGTTGTCGAGACGTTACTGAGCAGTAGTTGAGTCACCGTTGCATGTACTATGAGTTGACGAGCTTGTCGCGTCGCTTGTACGCAAGCTTATCGCGCGACAGGATCGTCGCGGTGGCAGAGGTCGACGGCCGCCGCGTCCTTCATCGCCCTTAGTACGTCACCCGGCTCACATACACATCGGCGTTTTGGCAAACCTTGGCGCTTGATCGACTATGGTACGGAGCTCGCGTGGTTTGTGCAACTAAAAGCAATAATATATTACCACCACATAAATTTGTATGCGACAGCTTTATAACAATACGTGTTATTAGTTGCTTGAATAATTATTAAATACTTATATAATAATAATTAAATATCGACTGTATTACGAAATTATCACTAGATAAACGAGACCGAATTCAACTCAAAATAACATTAGTAACGAAGTAACTTCTTTTAACAAATCTTAAAAACAACGAATTTTGTCGTGTTCAAAAACACAAAACGGTTTTATCCTAAAAGTGAAAATCGTTAAATCCCAGATTAGTGAGGACAAATCGTTATTAATAAATGATATATATACGTTGACTAGTGCCCAATTTTTGACGAGGTGCGTCTCAATGTCACGGTCACGAGACGTTACAAACTTACGCGTCGCCCGCGTCATGTAATCGCATTCCTGAGCAGTCGTTTGGTACAATGTTCTAGTAAAGAGGCCACGTGATTTTAAATCTCGCTAACCAGCCGGGGTCGCTCCGTGTCGGGAACAGTGTCTTCGGCAGCTTTGGTGTGCTCATTGCAGTCATATTTCCTCACGCAACCTCGACGTGCCGTTTCCTCTCGGGTCGTTTATACAGTTTTCGCCGCGAGCGAACTCGTGGTTCGGCTGTGAAGTCGAGGGCTGCAGTGGAGGGCGAGGGGCGGTCGAGTCTTATCTCAGGGCCCGATAGGGAGGCGTCTCACGGAGGCGGCCTTAAACTGGAGCGAGACGGTGACCCACTAAAGCTCGCTCCGACGCGGGTGTTTCTCCACTTTGCCGGAATATTTATGTGCAAGGGCACTCTGGCGCGATTAGAAAGCCATCTTCACAATATTGACTGAGCAACGGGCTTATCCCGCCTCCGCCATATGGACCTATGCATATTTTACAATTGGGGGAGCTCGTAAAGGGAATACAAAAAGATGCGGCTTAGGTGAAATGGCTTATACGGTTTGTGGCACGTTAAATTGCGAGTGTTTACTGTGCGCTGTTCTGACGGGGTATTGACTATTGGGATGTACGACATCGTTTTCTTTTGTATAATCTTGCGTATAAAATTTCACATTTATATCTTGTCATGAGTATATAGGGGAAAGCTTGAAAGTGGCACCAGTGACTGAGAAAATAAGGAGTGGTAGGTTGGCATGGTATGGGCACATAGTGAGAAGGGATGAAAGTCATGTGACTAGAAAAAGCAAGGGCAAAACTAGAGGAAGACCTAGACGGATTTGGACGAACTGTGTCTGTGAAAGGATTCAGTATTGAAATGACGGCTGATAGAGAAAAGTGGAAGGAAAAGACATGTTGTGCCGACCCCACCTAGTGTGAGATTTGGGCAGGAGAAAGAAAAAGAAGAAGATCTTTTCATGAGTTGTACGCTGTGTATAAAACATCGCCATGTGTTATAATTAAAGAATTGGATCTTGACATACATATTGACAAGATGGGAGTAGACAGACGTACGCTAACTCTATGCATCTCATCTTATTTTGCTGACGTGTCGCCATTTTCTTGTTGCCGTTATTTAATATATTAGGCGTTGATGGGCACGTCTGATCAGGCCCACACGCGTCGTATGCGACCTTATGTGATGTGACGAGAACGCTGCATAATACACTCTTCACCTCCAATTAGCATTTCACCGTTAAGCCGTTCGTGCAATGTATACAGTTACGCCGCCGCATACAGATTACTGGGCGGGTACGCTTCCCAGAAGTAATGGGTGGGCAGGGGAAAATCTACGTCGACTATTGTTGGAACTGGCACTCAGGTCTTATGACGCGGTAGAATCGTAGAATAGAAGACGAATTTCGTTTGTGGCGGCGCGGCTCAGAAATCTAGAAACCTAAAAAGGTTTAAAGCAAGCCATAGGTAATAATAACCAACACGAAACGCAAAGCGACGTCAGAACAATAAACAACATAAAAGTTCTTACATTTATCCGTACGTTCTTGCCTTTCATTTCACTTTTGCCGTTAAAAGGGCAGTCACGCGGCCGTGGGGGGCGACCTCTCGCCGATTTTCCAATCAATCGCGACTCCTCGTTGACCCCACGGGCCCGAACTGGCGTCTTCGGTAAGGCGTTTTATTGTTTCTCCTGCCCCAACGCTGGTGACGGACTACTGTACTGTATTGTACAGTCGTAACAACAAAAAGCATTAGTTACTCGTACAATACCTTTGCTACTTTCATAATTGACATGTTTTATTTGTTCCACGAAAAAAAAAAAGAAACTAGTAATCATAGGTTTCGATGTGGAGCATTATAACCTTCCGCCGTTGAAAAATAATAAACAATGAGAAATAAGATCTTCGTTGGTTTCACCTTCTAATATTGAACGGAGGCCTTCCGCTTTCGTAGTAAGCACTAAGCGACGGACTAGCAAGCTAGCTAGCACCTTCACTCGGCTTCCATTCAACCTTAATGTGCTACGATGAATCGAGAGATGCATTTTCCAACTTCATTATTGCTGTAGCGTACCGTTCGCCATAAAGAGATTGGTGTCGCGTCGGACATATCAAAATATGGCGCAAAAAACAATGACCGAAATATAACAGAGCGGATTTAAAATTAATTAGAGCCGACGAGGTGGGCCGGTCGCGGCGGGAGGGAGAAATGCATTAGCCTCAGTGTAAAAAGGAAGGTCACAAACACGCCCTCGCCGCCTTGTCGTCTTTTTTTTTTCACGAATAAGGCACTGCCGTACACGTACCTCGTAGATGAAGCCAGTCGACCGAGTAAATCGAGCCACCGATTCATAAATTGCCCGGCTGACTGTGATTTTTTAAATAATCCACGAATTATCTCAATACATTATTACTCAAAGTAAGATAAGGTAATATGATAATATTATAATGCGATAATCGAGTAATCGAGTTAAATAATTTAAACTTTCAAAGACCAGTTAAAAGATTACATTATTAGAAAAAGTTTAACTGTTTCATTAAAAAAATCTTATAAAACTTTCTTTGAAAGAAAGTATGATAATGCCATCTATTGACAATGTATTTAAATGTACTTAAACTACGTTGTTATTAATAATGTTAATATAAAACAAGATACTTTTCATTAATGACCACTCATTTACACATTATTATAAATCACCGTACTGTGCAGCGCATGAGCCAATAAGTCAAATATAAAATAATAGTTTTATGGAATCCTATTATTCTCATAAAATTCAAACATATGTTGTGCTATGTATATTTTCTTAGTACATTGTTATAATGAAACGTACGTGGTAAAGACATATTAAAATTCATAACTTGGACTTAAATTAAATTTTAATTGTTATAGTCATATCTTAATTACCGAATTGTTAACTTTGATTATCATAATGGTGGGAGAACACGGTTTGGAGTTCGCGTGGAGTAAAAAAGTGTACGTTTCAACAAGCAAATACAATACAACACCGAGAGATATCCCTAAAACCGTTCGACAAGAATGCGCGTTCTTTTCCGATTCCTCTCCAGTGTAGAAAGTTGTAAAAAACGCGCAACAATGGCCCGTCTGAAATATGACTCGCTAGTTTTTACAAGCGCATAGATACGAAAAGAGCGCAAAGTTCTGAATTCTTTTCAAGGCTAGAACAATACTGGAGTCGGTGCGTTCACCTCAAATAAGCTTATGTTCGAACTTTTACAAAATTCCTACTTCCTCCGTTGGAACATAGGGACAGATGGAAGCTTTCAATTCCATGGTAAGCCATGTCAGTTACAAAACGCGGCATCCATTCACTTAATTAGCGCTTAACAGGAATTATACGCTTAATTTGTGGAGCTCCACTAGTCGAAACAGCTCAACATGATTAAATTAATTAAAACAATATGTCATATATGTCAATTAATTTTTGTACAAAATAAATACATATATATTACTTTTAGATTGTTTTATAAATATTAAACTTATATAAAGGTTTTCGATAACATTCGTCCTTTATTTTAATGTCAAATTCCACGAAAGATAAGTTTTTTAAACAATTTTCATAGATTCGAAAGACAATTTGTGTCATCGACAAGTTTAAATTATAAGCAAGCGTTTTATTCCCATAGTATTGTTGGGTCTTCGTACGGTATATGCCTTCGACCGACTTCTAATGTTATCAGACAGTGGGGTCGAAATAAGGTCAGTGCTGCTTAATTATTCATCGGTACCCGTGGGTGTGTTATCTATGTTAACTTTCTGCTAATTAGAAAATTTTAACCTAAGTAAAATCCCGTTAAGTAATATAATTCTCTTAAATACGATAAGTTAGAGGGCCTAATATTCTCACGAATGGCTGTATGTTATATAATCCTTTGATTTTATTTATTACCTTCTTTAACTTGAATTATAACACATTGAAATCGAGTAAAATGCTTTATTTTTTTACTTTTGGATCAAAATCCTTTCACAATTTCATTAAAATGGTAACAGATTGTTCGACTCTGTTGATGCTGCATGAAAACGGCTATTTATTGTATATTTTCATGTGAAAATCAAACTTTAGACAAGCTCTTGTTATAATTATATACGTGTAGGAGCGGTAGGTTGTTGCGGTGACATTAAAAGTATAGTAGCGATAGTGAATATGCGAGGGATATAATTGCACCGAGTTTGTCGCTCGCAAGATAGCTGTGTCGGCAGTAAAGCTGCGGGCTAGACTGCGCTCCGGAAACGTTCTACCATCCACTGTCCTATTTATAAGCCACAAGTACACCGCTTCTCGCAACGTGGAGCTTCAAAGTGGAGGCGGTGATTAGCGGGCGGTGAATCCGGTTTGAGGACCATTTCGGTCCTTCCAACCGGATTTTGATGAAAACCTTTATCATGAATACATGTATAAATAAATAAAACGTAAAACGTATACATTCTCTAATTATTACAAGATAAAGTCGTAAGGAATGATCATTTTAACTCTTAAATACTAATGATGTGATAATTTATTTATTTAGTCCTTATTGCATTTCCTTTAATATGGAACACAATAGGCGAAATTATGCCATTAGGCATTCTCTGCCAGTCAACCTATGGTGTGGTGAGATATTTAGGCAGTTGCAATAATAAAGCTAACTAAAATTAAATTAGAAAATAATCAACCAAAAGAGTAACAAATACTTATACATATGCAAGATTATATAAAATAAATTACTTAAATACTTATAAAATATTTTATAGCCGTATCGGCTATAATGTATCAACTATGAAATATTTTACATATTTTAGACCTTTAAAAGTTTTTCATAAAATTAAATGTTATTGTTAGAAACCGGGCATTTACAGATGGAGGATTACGTGCAATTCTTTTCTTGATAGATAGCTTAAAGGCCCATTTACACGATGCCATTTTCTTGTACATACAAGAGCAATAATTGAATGCAATAAATTGCGCGCAATAATTGTTAAGACCATTTGTTGTTTAGACCATGCAACTCATTTATTGCTTCAATTTAATTGTATACAACAGGCAAGAAACTGGCACCGTGTAAATGGGTCTTTAGGAATTGCCTTCGTGCAATTAATTCTTATGTTATTTTCAAAAATCTTTATGTATAGGTTTTTCAAGTCGACGTTAATTTATATTAAAATCGATAAACCAGTAAAGTAATCATTCGGATATGTCACTCGTATGCACTTACAGCAATCAATCTAGATTGAAGACTGTAGTGTCCCTATTTAAATGATGCCATTTGACAGCTGATGAGTTAATTTCTACGATGGTCAGAAACCGGACCGTCTTATCATATCATGAGTTAGTGGTGCATAAATTAATAGGTTTTGGATTATGTTCACAACGTTTAGACATTGATTTTAGGTAAGCTGTATCGACTCCCAATAAAGATAAATCTAATTCGCAGATAAAACTAATTCGCTCGGAAGTAACCAACCATCTTATCGATTGTTATGAATGAATTCAGATTGCACCTAAACTTTTTAAGGGACCTTCGGTTATCACCCGTCAATTACATTAAAGGCGCCCTCCGCGGGATATCCAATTATGAATACAAAAATTCGTGCCACTGGGGCCCGGTAATACGATTCGCCCGGTGTTGGGTTGCATATTGACAGACCCATTATGCCAACGGTGGGGTGTTGTCGAGCGAACGAGGTAGACAGAATCGGGTGACGGCAATGCGTACTCGAAGCCTTTGATGTATCTGTTCGGGCAATTTAAAATTTATATGGACGAGAACGCTTTTTCGTGTGCTATATAAAAAGATATGGAAAGACCAGCAAGGGGTGTTCAGGCCATATTTTTTTTTAATTTCTTTTTTGGATTTCCGTATGTAATAAGGTCTATTACTAAGACTCCGCTGTCGGTCTGTCCGTCTGTCATCAGGCTGTATCTCACAAACAGTTGAAATTTTCACAGATGATGTATTTCTGTTGCCGCTATAACAAAAAAATACTAAAAAAAAATTTGGGTGGGGCTACCATGACGTATGGGACATGATATTTTGCAGTTTTTATAGAGAATGGTACGGAACCCCTTGTGCGCGTGTCCGACTCGCACTTGGCTGGTTATTTTTATTCTCATCAACGACCCTGCGAAATCGGTAGAATATGAATGTAGGCATTTACTCTTACGTAGATTCTACATAAATCAGAGTTTAGGTCAAACTGCTTTTTCGACGGACAGTACCCCCTGGTGATAGGCGATACTCGTAACGTGTACATTGCAACAATTAAAAGCGGTCTGTTTGAACAGAACGAACTTCGAACACGAAAAGAAATGAAGTAATAGAAGTTTCATTCCGTTAAAAAGATATCAACGGAATGAAAGGGTTTTATTGCAGTCGGCATCGGTTTTGCGAACGGGCCCGCTGTGAGGGATTACCGATAACGTGAAACGCGCGAATATCTCTTTTTGTATAGAGCCGGCATGTGCATATCGCTGCATACGTTAAAAGGCAAACAATTTGGTAAATATTCCGTATGCACCAAGTAATCAGACTGAAAGTTAGAATAATTGGTAAAATGAACCATTTTGAGATATAATTGACGACAACTTAATTGATTTGCGATTGTATTTTTTTACGTATTTTGTTTATATTTTATAATGTGCGACCAAAACAGGTTTTTCAGCCGAAAGCGAATTTTCGGCCTTGGTTCTCAGTTTCGCTCGAAACCGAAATCGAACCTTATTTTATAAGATTCCATACTATATGTATACTGAAATGTAGTTCATTGTTCACACGTTTATTTGCTTATACATTCGGTCAGTTAAATTTTATTGAATAAAATAAAAAATAAAGTGTAAGTTTTTTATTTAATGCCCTGAATGTATATGTAATTGTGAGCATGTTAAAGAATAACTGAATTAATCTATTCTAAGAACAACTTTCGTTTACTAGACTTAAACATGAACGATAGACTGTCAATTGTGAATTTTAGTATATTATGATATAGTGAACACAATAATCTATATAAATAAAGTTTAAATTGAAATTTATTTTCTGAGATCTAATAATTAGCACTTTGGTTATCATACTAATAATATGACTAGTCTAGGTATATAATCTAATCATTATCATTAAATCATTATGGTAACATACGAACGTATTAATTTCTGTGTAAAATTTCGACGTTTCATAAGAACGCGCAAGCGTCTATTTGAATAAAGATATTTTATTATTATTATCAAACTCTGAGGTGTCAGCCTCAACAAAAATAGATTAAAATTATTCACCGAAACCGAAACTATACCGGATTTTATGCCGAAAAAGATCAAATCCTTCGGTTTCGAAAAAGATCAATTCCTTTTTAACGGTCCCTAACCATATGTATATATGAAAGGAATAAAATCACCGTCGATAAACAACGATTTCACTTTACAGAAAGCTCAGTTTTAAAGCTCCTCAGATTGGATTCGCACTACTTCTATACAATGGATAGATCAATTTCAATTACTACTAATAAATCACTAGTCAGCTCGTACAAAAACATAGAGTAATGCAACACACTGTGGCAATTATGTGTGGAAATGACTCTTGCAGAGCAAGTCCCCTGGCTCCTGCTAAATTATACTAAAATAATATGTGTATACTTAAATACTTAAAAAAAATAATATATACATATATGACCGCAGAGTTTCTTGCCGGTTCTTCTCTTGCAGGTCTAGTTTAGTGAACCGGTGGTAGTTTTTGACGTTCAATAAGAGCTTAAAATAAGCCTATGTTGAATAAAGAAATTTTGACTTGACTTTGACTTTGAAAGCATACATTTTGGTTTTCGGCGGGATGCTAAAGATATCGAGCGAAGGCTATGTGCGTCTTCGCTGTGTTTGCACCTCGCCGCGCGGAGCGGACTGGTTTGCATGGAGACGGCCGAGATCCTTTGGTGTAACTCAATGCCGATGGAAGCACGTCCAGTGCACCTTTGATCTCCTCGGCCGCGCAGCAACCTGCGTGTGTTATGGTTCGGGGAGCGAGAGTCACACGTGCGAACGTCTAGACAGGATGTTGGTTTGAAGCAACAGTATCTAATTGAAATCCTTATAATACTTGCGGCGAGGATAGTCGTCCCGAACTACAGACAACAAATACATTACAACCTCAATAGTTATCTGAAATATATTATACATGTGTAGTTTTGAGATTTATTTGACGGGTGTTGTCAACAATTTAGCCGGTTTATTAAATACTGATATTTTGATTAAAAAGATCTAAAAACACTCGCGTACCTGGCCACTGATGGGATTGCAAGCAGTGTCCACACATCGCAAGTTCACATAATTATGTTTACCACAATGAATTATCAAAATTAATAGAATACACATAAATTGTACATGATACTTTAACTAGCGAGAACATAGAATGTAGACGAATAATTATATATATCTCTGAACACACTGACATTTTTAAACGGTTTTATTTAGCTCGACCCGTACGGATTTTGTTTGTTTATTTATTTGGGTCAAAATTAGAAATTGAAATTTAAGCACCTTGCCGTTGTCAGATTGATCTGAAATTTGGTACACACATTTAATTTAGATGACAATACAATATTAACAAAAAAAAAAAACAAAAAAAAAACCGTTTAACTTAAAAGTTTTTTAAAGTAATTATTTTAAACGGTTTTATTTAGCTCGACCCGTACGGAATTTGTTTGTTTGGGTCAAAATTAGAAATTGAAATTTAAGCACCTTGCCGTTGTCAGATTGATCTGAAATTTGGTACGTACATTTAATTTAGATGACAATACAATATTAACAAAAAAAATTAACAAAAGAAAAAAAACAAAATAAAACCGTTTAACTTAAAAGTTTTTTAAAGTAATTATTTTAAACGGTTTTATTTAGCTCGACCCGTACGGAATTTGTTTGTTTGGGTCAAAATTAGAAATCGAAATTTAAGCACCTTGCCGTTGTCAGATTGATCTGAAATTTGGTACACACATTTAATTTCGATGACAATACAATATTAACAAAAAAAATTACAAAAAAAAAACAAAATAAAACCTTTAAACGGTTTTATTTTCATTTAGGAGATAAAAACCGTGTCGCTCGCCAGTGACAGACGCAAGTGTTAACTCCTATTGCACGCCGTTGTTTTCCGAAGCCGCGTTACTTCAAACACGAGCCCATCCGTACAAAAGCTGTGCGTGGCACGCGATCCAGTACTACACTCACGTCTATGGATTAATTTGTCTATGGGCCGAGCTAATGGTACGCTCGGAACGCGCGTCGTAGGGTCTTCCGCTAGGCGTGATATAATTGTACCGACTTTGAATAATAAATAATGCATACGGGAACACGTTATATACATTGCTTCGCTTTCATCGTACACCGGAAAGTCGGAGCATTAGCCTGAATATAAGTTACGAGTAAATTAAATCTATTATCTATTTATTCGCCCTTTCGTGGATGTGGTACGTATGGACGATTTTACTGTGCATTCTTCCAATTCAATTTTTGGTTAAATTGTCTCTCATTGGTGGTTATAGTGTTGTGTATATTATGTCAAACCAGTGTTGTACCTAAAGTACCGAGTACCGAATGGGTTTAACACATTTATTCCGTAATAGTAAAGTAAGTTAATGTCTTATATTAGTCCAATTACTGGACAATGGCCTCCTCTGTACAGAAGGTATCAGGGCATGGTCCGCCACGCGACCACTGCGGAGTGGCAGACTTCACATATCTTTAAAATATTTTTTTTTTGTTATTATTTCGAAAATTTGCAGGTCACGATGTTTTCTTTAACTGCTGATGATAAGTCAGCATACCCGGACACTGAGCTATCACGGCTTCTTAATAGCTTGAGAAACAAACACGTTGCATTCTAGCTGGGATATCAAGTAACCAAGAATGGACTACCGCGACCCAACTGCATAGGTCGAATAAAACATGAAAAAATCCTCCGCATTGCATATGCAATTTTTATCGATGAATATCTTCCATTATCTTTTATTCAACTATCAAATCCATTGGAACTCAATACGAATGATCAATGTTCAGGTGCTAAGTTTCCGAAAACCATCTATAAACCACAAGAAACATACCATAACGTCAACTTCTACTTTTATTATGTCGCCGCTTAATAGGACGTCATCTTTTCACAACGGCACGATTTAATACGTCCGTCGCATATGAATGACACACTTACATAAGTGCATTACTACTCGCCTTGCAGCGGGACATATTTTATTTTACTTCACTACACTACTGAGGTAAACACATCAAGCATATATACGTATGAAATATACACTATAGCCACGAAAAATGCAAAAACGACACAACTCTAACTATAACTCTATGTTAATTTCTACACGCAAATAACATTTAACAACAAAATCTACGCCTACAACAACCTATTGTGATAACGCACAAAAAGAATTCGGAATGTATATGTTTAAAATAAAGTTACTAACAAAATCGATAGAAAAAGAACAATCGAACCAAAAGAGAAGGATCACTTACACAATTTACAATACTGTCTAAAGATCTAAGTATTGACATGCATAAAGTCAGAAGTAATAGAGAGAAGCAATGGAGAATTTATAATGGTTAATTTTAAGAAACAAAAAATTCAAAAGAGCTGAAAAAAATTCACACGTGACACTTAGCGAGCAATTTGTCGATGTTGTTTGTTATCTATCGATATAATATTCGTCGCTCGGCGCGGCACTAGCTTCTGACTAACCACCAAGTTCCGAGTTACTGAGTGAAGGTGAGGCCAGTTCTAGGAAACGAGCGGTTCCCACGGGTGTCGTGCGTGCGTCGACGGTCATACCTGCGGACAATAGACGGCGCATTAGTGCTGGATGGAGTGTAAAATTATCGATATTACAACATAACAAAATTATTTACTTATTCTATTTTAACACATTTTTTTTAAATTGATATATGTTCCCATAAAACTAACGAAGCGTGAGTCATATAAGATACGAGGTTTTAACTAAAACTGTAATAAATTAGACGTACACGTTTTAATCCTTACTTTACTTACTAATATTATAAAGGCGAAAGGTTGTATGTATGGATGTTTGTTACTCTTTCACACAAATACTACTGAATGGATTTTAATGAAACTTTACAATAATATATCTTATACATCAGAATAAGACATAGGCTATAATTTATTTAAAAAAAATATATGTATATCTGTTTGAATGTAACGCCTTCAGCTTATTCTACGCGGGCAGCAGCTAGTATTAAATAAACAAACACTACTACTGTCATAAGTAATTTGTGTGCTAAAGAAACATGTACATATTAATAAAACGATTGCATAATATTCATAGCATTAGTTCAAATGGTCGGCAAAATACCAAATTCAACCAATTCCCCCTAAGAGGTATTTTCACGCAAAGATAAAACATTCGCGCTTAAAGTGTCCCATTGCCGCCCGGCGACAGACCGCGCCTCATTAACACTATCGACGCTATCACGAGTTACAATCATGCGTGATGATAAAAAAATACGCACACGTAAGCGTTATCTATTCGCTGTGTTTTAGATATTAATAGTTAGATAACCACTTGTGCCGCGCTCGAAATTCTGTAGTAACTCTTTGAAAAGGTTCTATTTAATTAACCTCCTTGCTGTACTTTGACATCACTGGCAGGCAACAGTCGATATCATAATCCTCATTCCAAAGTCTGGTTTGCTTTTCGAATTTCAAAAGGGCGGTGGTCCGTTCTAATGATTTAAATTTTTATCTTCATTAACTAGAAATACACCGCTATTGTTTAAACACCCTTAAGAGGCTAATTAGTATTTACACCCAAGAACGATTCATTCATAATAATAATTTAAGCGTGAAACCAATATAAAATTGGGGACAGTAACATTGACAAATTATCCAAGCCCTCTATTCTTGGATATTAAATCGATTGCTTGATCGAATTAAAATCAATCAAATATGATAAGATATATAAAAAAAAAAAACAATCTACATATTAAAGTTTTTACCAAGGATATAACAAAGAAAGTGATTAGCGTCCATTTCTTCATTTGGTTACAACAACTGAGACATGCATTTATTATCTTTATCATAATTAGAACAAGTTAGTAGGTTTTTGTTTAGATACAAACTAGCTTATTAGATTTGTAACGCCCTAAGCATGATATAGAAAACATAACTTATAACATCCCTTTGTATTCTGTAGTTTACTCGTAAAGCCCGCTAAGATTTTAATTTATAGTAACTAATTTTCGACAATTTTATCATCTTTAGATTTATTTTTACATATAAAAGTTTAGGAATTACTGTTTGCCTACAAAGTAAACAAATAAATAATATAAGAACAGTATTTAAATATTTGATAGAAGAACTTGCAGAGAGCGTGTGTTAAGGGTTCCTACAGGGTTTAAGCCCTATATTTACATAAGAACACATAAGTGGAGGCATTTTTTATGGGATTTAACCGAATACTCCCTACCTACAGCAAATTCTTGAATTATTGAAACTCGTTTCATGTTTTTGACATTTGTGACGTAAGAACATCAGTAATCTCTTGGATGATGGTTGAGTTTTAGTGAGTTGACTTTTACAGACAGCAAAATATGTTATAGTTACAAAGCGTATAACATATAGAATTATGAAGATTGTAGATGAACAGTGACTGTGTGTGACTGAATTAAATACAATTATTTAATTACTGCAATTATTTTGGTTTAACTCCCCATTTTTCTAACATGATCACGGGACAGATAGAAGGGATTTGAATGCAAGTTTAAAAATGTTATCAAACCTTAAAAATTCATAAAATTAAATGAATCTCGAAGAAATGTGTCTTTAAATTATTGGAAGTTTTAACTTATCTTTCCAATTACGTAATAATATAAAAAAATGTATTTTTCGAAACCTTTAACTCCAAGCCCAATTTTGAAATGTCACCTTTCCATGGTTCCGAAAACAGAAAGCGCAGGCGTCACACAACAAAACAAAATAGTTAATAATTAGCGCTATTAAACAATACAAATGTATCCATTTCAAGCCACTCCGACGTACGTGATTCACCTTGAGATCTGTTACCGCATACGCAGAGCCGTGGGAAATTACTACAGAACCGCAATAGGAAAAAAACTAAAACGAGCGGCGAGGGAATGCTCTTTGCTCTCTACGAATTTTCGAGCAGAAAAAGTTTCGCGAAGAAGAAAACCGGCCAAGTGCGAGTCGGACTCGCGAGCGGAGGTTTCGGCAAAAAATCTTGTTTGTTGTATGAGAGCTCCACTTATATGTTTTTTTATTTTGTTTTTAAGTATTTGCCGTTATAGTGGCAACAGAAATAAATCATCTGTGAAAACTTCAACTGTCAACTGTCTTTCTTGAGACACAGCCTGCTGACAGACAGACAGTCAGACTGACGGCGGAGTATTAGTAATAGGGGTAATTACCCTTTAGGTACGGAACCCTAAAAAAGGGTCGCCTTCAGAAGCAACAGTGCGAAATGAGTTTCCCGCGCGGTAATATCGCACTATAATCGTGTTCATTATCGGCGTCGGCGTAAAATCGACGGGACCTTGAGGCGCGCAGATAAAGTTTATTAACACCGGCGATGTGTATTTTAGCGTTCATAAAAATATACTTATGTAACGTGCGACCGTGATACTAGTTTTCCTATTTTTTTTGCGCGGCACCGCTTTGGCACAACGACCGCGCCGAGGCATTCTACACACCGTTCACATTTAAGGCCGCTTACAAAGTGCTTAGTTACTTAAAATGCTATATTTGCTCTTATATTTTAACTAGCGACCCACCGCGGATTTGCACGGGTGCAATGTATTATACATATAAACTTTCCTCTTGAATCACTCTATCTAGTAAATAAACCGCAGCAAGATCGTTGCGTAATTTTAAATATCTAAGCATACATAGGGACAGACAGACAGCAGGACGACTTTGTTTTGTACTATGTAGTGATACATCATATTTTAGACGGTAGTCTAACACACTAACGTTGTTTCACCACTTCCAAGATCCATTTGCAGTTTCCAAATTAACACTTCAAGTAACGTGTTATATTTCCTTTTAAGTAGCGTTGTTTTTATGTCATTATAAAAAAGCCTGTCTCTTTACGCATACTTCGCGATAAACAAATTAAGGAACAAGATGTCTGACCCCGAGTGTGTTTCAAGAGTTATTTCAAGTAATTGGAGCCTAATTACGACGCTTTAATTAATGAACAGTCACAATTTCATCTTTCATTAGTTCGATAGCCGGGTCGATGTATTTTAAAGGTTGTCAACGCGTCGATAAGCCCTATGGGGGTGGGGGTAATCACTTAATACCAGAACCGTCCGCTCGCTTGAGACCAACAAATTGTGCAAAACAGAAATTACCATTTTTTTACTAACGAAAAGCAAAAAAACTTCAAATATCTCGCAAAAAAAAAAAGAACAGCAAAAAAACTTCAAATATCTCGGTCTGTATTCATTTTATAATTTATTTTCAGGAGTTCCCTAAGGATCTCGGGCTCCTAATACCAATGAAATTAATATGGGACCACATGGGAAGCGCCAGCTTTAAAATAAGAAAAGAATCATCAAAAAAGTTCTGAGGTAACAAACATAAAAAAAACATACAGTCGAATTGAGAGCCTCCTCCTTTTGAAGTCGGTTAATAAATAAAGCAGTGATAGCTCAGTGTCCGTGCGCTCGCCTTTAATTCAATATACTCGAGCAACCTGAGTCCGATCCCCGGTGCCGGCACCAATGAAATTGTTAATTTCAAGTGCTGTATTATCACGTGCTAGGCGGTGAAGGAAAACAGCGTGAGGAAACCTTCATAATTTCGAAATAATAAATAATTTAAAAAAAATATTTCGAAGATATGTGAAGTGTACCAATCCGCAGTGGGGCCGCGTGGTGGACTTAGCCCTGATACCCTCTGTACAGAGGAGGCCTTTGGTCAGTAGTGGGTCATGTATAGGGTGATACTTCACTAATAAATTAAAAAGAGTTCATATCGCCCGTGTGCGCGCAGCCTTATCTCGGCCGAGAGGTCGCCGCGGCAGGAAGCGCGCCGCGTGGGCGGACGTTTAACGCGCGAGGAAGCGGCGCACGCGTCCGGTGACCGCTCGCCGGTAATCTCGGCCGACGGGACAATCCGCGCGCGATAGGCCTGTCACTGGCGATGGCGACGATCTGCCCCAATTAGCCTAGCAGTGCACACCGTAAGGTTGAGCGTTCAAATAGACACGTTTAATAATATCTGCGTGCCAAAAATAACAATTAGGCTTTGTTTATGCGAAAAGTTGCCAAGCAAGCAGGCGGTTCGCCTGATGTTAAGTGAATACCGCCGCCGATGGACATCTACTACACCCGAGGGTTGCAGATGCGTTGACGACCTTTTGAAAATTGGGCTCCGGCTACCTCACTCACCAGACGAAACGCGAAAGTATTATACTTCAAATTTACGCCGGTCTTCTGTGAGGTCGCGGTACTTAACCGGACGAGCCTCCCATTCGTGCAACAGCCGAGGCTGCTGCGTGGCCCTACCACACAGAAATTAATTAATTCTTTAAGGCAATAAACAGATTAAAAAGGCAATTAAATGCGGGTTCTACAATACTAGAATTTCAACTAAAGGTTGTTTATTCCAGGCAACCTTTAGATGGTATGTTATGTTATGTTAGAAAATATTTAAAGCTGTTTCAGGGCGATGGATAAATTTTACTAATTTTATTTATTCGATATAGCTACTTAGAAAGTTGTTAAAAAATAATTTTACGATAGTACTCACATTTTAACACTAAATAAGCTTTACTTATTCACTTCTGAGATTCAAAAATACGTAAGTCAAAAGTTTGCTAAATATCATCGGGCAATTAATTACAGTAATTAAAATAAAATTGAAGTCAAAGTACGCGAAGTCTTAATTAACCACACGTTCACCTTGATATTACAAGTCCGCGTCGTGTAATTAATTGGCAGCAGATTAAGCATAAATTAATATTTTTTTCTGGACATAATTAATTTGTTAATTGTGGAATAATTCACTTAAAAGTAATTTTTTACTTTGAACACGAGAGGATTTCTAAACTTACATACATTCACGTGCTCTCGATTAAGTTTAAAAACTTTCAGAATTCAGAGGCGATTTCTAACTACCAACCGTGGTTCCTACTAATTACAGTAATTAACGCTGACTTAAGCTTTAATGATTATCAATTAAGCTTTTAGAAGCTAGAAAAAAAAATCTCACCTGCTTCACTAAATTTTAAGCAGCCCACTCCAAGGTAAACCGCTGACGCTGATGAAAACTGATCAATGAGGCATCACATAGCCCTCAGGATTGTAAGGGGAATCTGTAACTTTAATTTGGGAGTCCTGCCCTTGGCAGCGGTAATCGCATAACACCAACTTGACCGCCTGCTAACTTAATATCGAACGAAGAATGAGCATCAGTCATGACCCGTGATTTTTTTTCACGTAACAAAGTGGCAAACGAGCAGACGGTTCGCCTGATGTTAAGTGATGACCGCCGCTCATGGACATTTACAACACCCATAGGGTTGTAGCAGCGTTGCCACTTTTCAATAAAATGGGCCCCGGCTACCTCACTCACCAGACGAAACGCAGAAGTGTAACACTTCTACTTCACGCCGGTCTTCTGTGAGGTCGTGGTACTAACATAATTTTTAACTCTCCCCGAACCCATAGATGCCACATTCCAGTTCACCTGTTGTACATCCTGAGGTCCGTTATCCCGTTACGATATCGGAGGGCGATCGTGGAGTGGTCAAAACTCAAAAGACTATTACTGCGGGGCGTGGGACGCTCCTCAGCGAGATGCTTAGGGCCGTTTCTACGGCGGAATTTAAACAAGATGGCGATCCGAACGTAGTGCTGATGACAAGCGATTTGTTTAATGATGATATTTATAGGTGTTAGTTAAACATCCGTATCACAATATTCAATTATGTGGGTGGTGAGTTACAATTTTACTTTACGCGAATAAAATTATTTAACTATTGATAAGTCAATGAAGATAATAGATAACCCGCCATGAGATGCAATGCCAGGTTAACATAAAACTTAGACATTTTTTTATACGAAGTCTTTTTTTAAAGGAGAGGAAAACGAAGAATAAATCACGGCTACATTGTTACCATTACTTTGCAATTATTGTTATTTATTATTAGAAAACTCGTTTCTCATAGGAAAAATAGCAAGAAATGTTATGTTTTAGAATTTAGTATTATATAAACAATTCAAGCTCAGCTATTTAAGATTGTTAACGTAAACTATTAAACTAAGAAAATTTATTATACTCGTGAAAAGATAATATGACATTGTTACACGTGACGTGTTTATTTAATCTACAAAAACAGAAATGAAATATTAGAGACGAAGGAAATCCTTTCTTCCATGAAGGTTGACCTTGTAATGAAAACTTCGTTTGACAATTCATATACTTGTAGACTCCACCGTCAGCCGAAAACGGATGAGAAGGCTCGTGTGAACACGCCCTGACTGTGCGACGTTGCCGCTCCGCTCAGGTAGTCGAACAATGCACGGGTATAACCAGCTGCCGGTACCTGGCCGTTTGCCCTCGGCTGCCGACCCACCCCCGAGGCAGTGCGCGCCTTTTTTCGATGATGACAGATAGCAATCGATCCGCACGAAATTGATCCCTCGAATTGCTCGGCGAGCACGCGCGGCGCTAACTAGAATGCTGCAAGCACTACCGTCCGCAGACGGTAAAGACTAAGAATGTCGGAGCCGTCACCTGTCAACACAAATGCAGGTTTTCGAATGTCCAGAGTTGTCATATTTAATTATACTAGCCGCTGCCCGCGACTACGTCTGCGTAGAAAAGGCTGAAGGCGTAATATTCAGACAGAAAGACAGATATATATAAAATATGTATATACATTATAGCCTGTCTTATTCTCATGTATAAGCTATATTATTGTAAAGTTTCATTAAAATCCATTCAGTAATATTTGCGTCAAAGAGTAACTAATAAACATCCATCCATACATACAAACTTATAAATAATATATATACTAAATTAGTAAGGATTGTTGATCTGATTATGACGATTTTCAGTGAGATTTAATCGACTTCAACCGTTTATGGTGTTTTCATGTTTATATTATACCGAATTCCTTAACAAACGACCTTTAAATAGTACATATTAATTTGTTTATACGAGCTAGATGTTATTAGATCCAGCCGTCTAAACGACGGCAAGATCGTGTTAATTTATAGAGGAAACAAGGGATCGCGTAAGTGGGCTTGTTGCCGAGTCGAAATTTAACAGTGTTATTCATAACGAACTTTTAACGAACTTTTACCATCGAACTGATCACGATCATTTAAACAAACTACATTCTAGAATCTATCTAATCACAATTTAAGATTTGATTTCTCTATAGCACAAGTTAAGTTATGATTGTCTCATAAAATTTATAATATGTGTAGCTATGTATATTCTCGCGCCCACATTCTCTTACGGCGTAGGCGATATATTTGAATAACGCTAAATTACTACAAAAATGTCTGTTAAACATCCACGGCAACCTTATTCTATATGACCGAACACAGCAGGGTGTTGCGCCAACGCAAATAATAATATATATATATATATATATATATATATATATATATATCTGTGCCTCCTGTGATCAGTGATACAAGTCGAAAATCAACATTTTACAGGAGAGCAAAAACAAGATTTAAAAAATTCTAGTTCATGAAGTGGATAGACTAGGACAAAACTTTGTACACACTCATATAGATTATAACATTCTCTTTCATCCTGTATTACAGTTTTGTTAAAAATTATATAATTTATCAGTAACTCGAAAAAAACTTTTGAATTGTACCTCTGTTAAGTAAAATATTGGCAAAGAAGATGTGTTACATGATATGAGTAGATTTAAACCATGTTGCACCTTATTATAGTCTTTGTGAAAACTGATATACGTGTAGTATAAAAACAAAAATAACTTATTAGAACCTCTTCCTATCATAATTGTTTAACCAAATAAAAAATAAATGAAACATCTAGATTCATTTTTTATAGTGTATATCCCCCTGTTGTGATAATTTCTTTGAATTGTATCAACTAGCTAAAATCCTCGTGATTTGAAACATGTGTTATATGATACAAGGCAAATTATACCTGACTTGAAAAATTATATTGATTGTGTAAATTAATACAACTATTCAAAAAATAATAAAAAATTTATTGTACTTCTCCTAAATTATTCTTATCTCATGATTCGATAAAAAATTATAAATTATATATCTAGGATCGGTCATAGCAGATATCACAATAGGTACCTTTTAGTACTTACAGGATATTATGATCATTATCTTAATCCTAAATAGATTAATAAATATAGAGAAATTAACAAACACAACAGAATCTTCTTATCTTTCTATAAGCACCCTATCTATGAGTAAAATCACCTTTAGACGTAAACCAAAAATAAAAGGAAACTATAACGACAAAATAAACGACAACTACTCAGAATGATTCTGACGTCATTGTCCGGAAGAGAGTCTTTAATGTTTTTTTTTTTATGGAAAAGGAGGCAAACGAGCATGCGGGTCACCTGATGGTAAGTGATCACCGCAGCCCATGGACATTTGCAACATCAGTTGAGTCGCAATTGCATTGCCGGCCTTTAAGGTAGGAATAAGCTCTCTTCTTGAAGGTCCCTAAGTCGTGTCGGTCTGGAAATACCGCTGGCGACAACTCGTTCCACAAAGTAGTTCATTCAAAATTTCGCGAAAAACTCACAGTGGTGGGCCGCCAACCATCAAGGTGGTGTCGATGGTACTTGGCGGTTTGACGAGTTGTACGATGGTGAAGTTCACCTGCAGGTATCAACTGAAGAAAATGCAAAGGGATGCAACAACCCTTCGCAGGGCCAAAGAATCGAGACGATCGGACAGAATTTGGTCGTCGATTATTCGAGCAGCTCTTCGTTGGATGCGGTCAAGTAGTAGGAGCTGGTATTTCGGTGCCCCAGCCCAGAGGTGAGAACAGTACTCCATGTGCAGCCGAATCTGTGCTTTGTAAAGCTGCAAACGATGTGCGGGTAGGAAATACTGTCTCGCTCGTTTTAGGATACCGAGTTTTTTAGAAGCCAGCTTGGCT